AACAACAATCCCACCACTATCAATCAGGCAACACTCACACAAATGTGCTAACTGCATCACCACTTTTAGCACCACCTCTAACAAACTACTAGCTTGACACTTTTAGCACCACCTCCAACAAACTACTAATTTAACTAATTCGTTGTCTAATTCATTATAAGACATACAAAACTTTGTTTGCTAACCAAGTAAAAGACTGACACCAATGGGTTCTTTTAAGATCCCATAGGAGATGCTACGATCAATTAACATGACAGAAGGCAATTTCAACCTCTCCAATGTTGTTGCTAAAGGGTATGCTAATTGTAGCAAAGCCATTAGCACACCAAGAAAGAGAGAGTGAAGCTGCAAGTACGATGGTCAAACCATCTTACTTCTCATATTTTAATTATTTTTTTTGATAAGAGACTTATGTTTATTATTGAATTGTTTGTTTTGTTCCTAAGTTTCACTTATACTTATTTTTATTATTGATTGTTCTTGGGTTTCTACGTTTTCTTTATTTGTTAGTAACACATACATGTATATATTTTTCTTGGGTTTCTCTTAATTTTTTAGTTGACTTTTGATGTGAGGATAGAACATTAACTACTTTCAGTAAACAAAATTAAATGTTAACACATCTAAGTATTTGGTTGTAATCTTTGCAGTTTGCATCATATTGCTCGCACTTTGGCACCAATTAAGGCATGCATTGTATGCACCAACCGCAAAGTATAACTAATAGTTTAGTACTTCATTTTTACTAACGTTAATCTCAAATGATTTAAAATCGAATCTCCTAAGAAATAAATCTAAAAAAATGTAAGTTTTAAAAACAAGATCATAACAAGAAGATTCAGAAGCAAAGGTTTAGCATCACTCAACAGACAGTCTCAGATCAAGGGTTGGATAATTTTACTATTGCATCATCCTCATCTACATTGTATCAGACCATCAACGCATACAAATTTTTTTTTTTTTTCTTTTTTTGAATCAAACCCTTGATTCCTTTTCACCAAGTCCATTAGGAAATTTCTTTTCAAGTGTGTGTATTTTAATTAGTCCATAAGATATTCTTATATTTCAATAAGTCCTATTATTTGAACATTTGATCTACCAAATCATAATTTTCATATTTAAGGTATTTTATAGATATTTCTACCTTTACAAATATTTTTTGAACGATTAGCAATTTGGTGATATGAACATTCATATTTTACGATGTGAATATTCACATTGACGTGTAAATGTTCACATTGACAGTGTGAATATGTACTTTGACAATATGAATATTTACACTGACATGTTAATACTCATATTGATGGTGTGAATATTCACATTGACGATGTGAACATTCACATCGACGGTGTGAACATTTACATTACGGAACATTTGCACTGTAAATGTGAATATTATTAAGGGTATTTTGGTAAATATGTCACTCATAGGATTTATTGAAATATAAGGAAATAATGTGAATTAAATGAAATATAAGTAGGAGAAAAGAAATTTAGAAAAAAGTGTCCCTTAAAAAAACAGAGGATCTCTCAATCCAAAACACTCCCAAATAAGGGTAGTATTTGGTTTGGTTTCAAATCATGATTTGAATTAAAAAAATTTTAAATTCATTTCAAAACTTATAAACAAATAACATTTTTAAAACTCTTTTCAAAAACTTCTCTAAAAAAACTCATAATCAAACAAGTTTTCAAAACTCTATTTAAAAAAAAAAATCAATTTTTTTTTTTATTTTGTTCTTCAAAATTATTTTTATAAAAATATTTTTTTCAAAAAAATAAAATATATATATATTTTTGAAAAAATATTTTGTTATTTTTTTAAGTATTGGAAAAATAATTTGTTATGATTTAGATATATATGGGCAATCCAAAAAAAAAATTAATTTTTTTTAAAAAAATTAAATATTTCAAAAAATAATTAAAATATATTTAAAATATTTAAAAAACAAAATATATATTCAAAATAAAAAAATAAAATTTTTAAGATTTTTAAATATTTAAAATATTTTGTTCTTATGGGGCTGAGCCCATGTGAAAGTGAACGGCACAAATGAAAACGAATTACGATCTGTAGTTGTACTAATGTTCAAATGGTCATAACCACTGGGATTTGAATTCGATATACCGATGTACAAAAATTGTAAAGAAATGAAAAACAAATGTAATAAATATAGGCCACATTAAAAAAACATATTTACAATAAAAAATATTTACCCTAAAAAAATAAAATTAAGAAAATTATTAAATATTAAAAAAATAATTCAAAACAATTTTAAAATACAATTCAAAACTCAAAACTCTTTTCAAAACTATTAACCAAACAAATTTTCTCTTTTCAAAACTCATTTCAAAAATCGACAATGCTACGTAGCTCAAATTTTGTGGCTCAAAAGTGGCTCAAATGGCCAAAACGACGTCGTTTTGAATATAGAACAACATAAAAATGGCCAAAACACAATTCAAAACTCATAACCCATTTCAAAAACTAAACAAAATGGAGCAATTTCTCAATAATTTTTCTAAAATATTAAGCTACTTATATTAAAAAATTAAAAAATAAATGCCAAGTAATACTACTCTATAACTACTTAATAATTTCGCAAACAAGTGATCCATCAAGATACAAGTGGGATAATTTTAGAGAAATTACCATTCAGATGAATTTTTAAAAATTAAGTGAAAAAGTTTATGATTTTAATTATTAATATTTATAATGTTTATTTTTTTTTTACTACCATTGGTAGGTAATTACCCCATAATTTCATTCAACTGTGTCTCAAGCGTCATTATTTAGGATTTGTTGCAAAGGGATATTCAACAAAATTGATTTTTTTCACAAATGATCTTTATTACACGGTTTACGGAATGAATAGTTCGGATTATTGTTGTAAGCTTAAGATGAAACCCACAAAATAAAATATAGAAAAAAGTATGAAGAATAATGGTATGGACAAGAGTCATTTTCCAATAGGCTACCCAAACAATGTAGAATTTGGCAACTGTTTTACTATTAAAAAAATATTTTTTTAAAATTTATTCTTAATAAAAAAAAATTAATTATTTTGTCAATTTTTTTTTGTAGATCCTTATAGACTATAAAGCTCCTAAATAAATAAATAGAAGAATCAAATTGAAAAAAATTTACTAAAAACAAAAACAATAAAAAAAATAACTTTTTTTTTTTTTGTTTTGTATTTAATGAATATTTTTAAATTTGGTCCAAATTTTAGGAACTTCTAGACTAAGGACTTTATAAAAATAAATAAATAATTACTAGAAAGCATTTGTCAAACTCTCACTTAAAAGGTCTACCTGTTCAGAATGCATCCCTCTTAATCCCATGTTATTTTTGTCAATCAAACATGATTAGTATGAAACTCACTATTTTTGTTAATACAATTCCATTGGTAGTGTCAGTATTGGCTAACATGTAGGTAACTAACTTGGATGCAATTTTTTGTCTCCAATAGAGGCGTTAGTTTAGCCATCGACACTAATGTTTGTTAGAACATAAATTAATTGTGGAGAGCAAGGTAACGAAGTGGATAGAGAAAAGGGAAGAGAGAGACGGAGAGGAAGGGAGAGAGAGAGAGAGAATGGCTTGCCTCTTCCTCCTGACAGATATGTCCCGTCAACACTAACGAGAGAACGCGAAATAGAGAGAGTGAGAGCTTCAAATTATTTTTTTAATTTCTTTTTATTCTATCTATACATATATATCACTTAACACATTCCTTACTTACATCATTGGAGCACGCACTCACTCTCTAAACTAACAAACACTTACAAATATAAATAGGTCCCAACTTCTACATTTTTTGTCATATAAGAGCATTATTATCACGCTCATTAGAGCTTTCTCTTGATTATTTTATAACACAAAATTATAAAAACACACTACATCAAACTCAATTATTAGTTAACTATTTTAATTAAATATCAAACCACTAGTTACATGTAACTAAGGAAAAATGACTCAATAAATAAAATAAATAATGTAGAGTTTGTTAGAGAATGTGTTTAAAAAGATGATAAAATTTTTTTAAAAAAAGTACTTTTAATTAAAATTTAACTAAAAATTTGATTATTTTAATAAAAATGCTCTAACACACATTTTAATAAACAATTTTAACTCTACCATTAGAGATGTTATTACCTTCGCTCTTTGTTCTCTTGTTGATTGGACTAGGCTTTGGTCCTAATTGGGCATATTTCGCCTTGGCTAGAGTGTGCTACATGTATAATATTATGGACAGTTATATGTGATGAACTAAAAAATTTATGTCTTGTATAATTTTTTTAATATATCAATAAGCTTTAAAATATTTATTTTATTTCAATACTTTTTAAAAATATTGATAAAAAAAATGAATAAAACTTAGAAGTAAATAAATCTTTAAAAAAATAAAAAAAAAGGGAGTAAAAACTAACACTCTGTTTGTTTCAGTGAGATTCACATACTTCAGAAAAAGAAAGAAAGAAAAGCCAAGTGGTGACTATCACTCCATTTGTTTCGATAAAAAAATGTTTTCCCATTTTTTTAATATTTCATACAATGAAAAATGAAAATGAGAAACATTTTTTTGTTCTAAAAACAAGCTTTTTTTTTTTTAAATCACAAATAAATAGAGTATAAAACATTTATATTAATATTTCTACCCAAAAAATATATACAGATATATAAACTTACATGAATAATATTATAATAACCATCTATTTCTATAATTTTATTTACCATCAAGAGGGGTGAACCCATTACAGCAATGTTATGTGGTAAGCTTTAATATGGCATGAAAAATGTAACAAATTAACATTATTAAACTTCCACATTACCCTCAATAAGTTTTAAAAAGTTGAAATTTTTGCATAATCATCTCATTATAAGCCCAAAACCATCATGTGTCTAGCCTTGTTCCCTCAAAAATAATTTAAAAAAATTAAGCCACTTAAAAAAGTCATTAAACGAGTTCCAAAAATAAAATAAAAAAGGGCTAAAACTATGCAACACGAATTAACTTTATTAAACATTAACTTATTTGTAGCTTCTTTTCTTCTCCTTCCTCTTTAAAGCATATAAAATAATAGTACAAACCAAAGACAAAATTGATGCCTTGTCTACAACCAGCTGTTGCCCTTCTACTACTACATTTCTATGAACATTAGTGAAACAGATGAAGTCATAAGCAACTGGAGAATCCGCGAAGATATTAATAGCCTTCACTTGACGATCGACACACCATTTAACAGCTTCAAAACATGCTTTTGCTTCCACAGTAGCAGCTGACAAAGCAAAAAACCTGCAGCTTTTGTTATCACCTGATTGTTATATTCATCAAAAGCCACCCATGCTCCTCCTGCCAGAAATGAGCCATCAACCACAATTTTATGAATTAAACTATCTACAACCCATGATACCATATTAGTAACAGAAAAGGATTTTGAGCATCTATTAAGTTCAATCATATTATTGCCCAAACCACCCTCCTTATCAACTAAGGCCATGTTTGTTTGGGCAGATTGGATTAGCATTCCCATGACTAATAGTCCTAGGACTACGAATCCGTTGGATTATGTATCATATCTTAACTAGTAGTCAAGTTTAAAATAATTAGTCCGTACTTCAATTGTTTAACCAAACATTGGATTAATAATTTTATTGGACTATTAGTCCAATCCCAAGCTCATGTCCACCCAAACAAACATGACCTAAATCTGTTAAAAAGCTTTGCTTCGCTTATTTTAGACGAACAAGCTAGCTTATATTTGACCACCAAAGGAGACCTCAATGTAACTGATAATTATAATCCCTGCTAGTATATTTTAAATGAACAAGCTAGCTTATATTTTAAACAAGCAAGCTAGCTTCCATTCAATTGTGCAATGACAATAAATAGGTCCCAACTTCTACATTTTTTGTCATATAAGAGCATTATTATCACGCTCATTAGAGCTTTCTCTTGATTATTTTATAACACAAAATACTAGTAAAAACATCGTAACAAGTCCTCTTTACTCATGGATTTCATTGTGAGCTCAAAAGTCTGGATTTGTACGACATGGAATCAAAATACTAAAAAATTTGTATCACAGCAATGCAGAATTTGTTTGCAGAAATATTTGATAGCTGCAACATCAAACACCAATGACCGGTTCTACAAATTGCATGACACCAGCATTCACAAAACATACCCTCTTTCCTTCCCTGATAAAAAATTACAAGCAATCGATTCAACAGGACAAGCACCAACTCCGCTAGAAAAGAAATAAAATTAATCACAAAGCCTCACCATCAAACTGCATTGGTAGGCAAGAAACAAGAAGACCAAGAAGCAACCTTATCGCTACCTCATCTTCTGTAAAACTGAAAAATAAGAATTACTCCACAGGAACCATCATCATCAATAGAGAAACATAATAATGCATACAATTTTGAAATTGCTGCCATTACTCAAATCTAATATCCTATCTTGCTTTAGTCTTATCATGGAGAGCACTGAATAATTTCGCCTATCGAACACTTCGGAGTAAATATTGTGAATTTAGTACCATCGGGTCCATATTGAAGAAAACACATGTATTTCCTAGTACCAAAACTGATCTAAACTAGGGGTTTTAAGTAAATTATTAGATGGATAGAGTCATTGCAAAAAAGAACTACATAATTGCTAAAAAGATGCCTATTGCCTTGAAGGAACGTTTTAACACAAACAAGAAGCGATCCATTCTCAAATCTGATCAATACGAAAGAATGATAATAGCAAACTATTTTGCTTAAGTAATAGCAAAAACTTGAAACCAAATTCTCCAAAGATGTCTCCCCATATTTCAATGATTCTTCATGATGAAGACAGAAAGTCGAGAAAACTATGAAACTAATGGTATCATCTACATAAATCAACCATGGTTATTTGGAGAAACAAAAATATTTAATAGAACATATGACAGTGTAGAACTCATAACATGATTCAATAGAACATATGAAACACTATTCAATACGCAAATTCTCACCCAAACTAAAGAGGACCACATAAAAAAACAAAAACAGCCACATATATTGCACAAATTGTTTTCCATTTCGCTTAACTAGACAAGAACTTGACTGATACAACACCAATATACAATCTAAGTAAACACTATATATTATTTAGCAATAGCAATTCCCTTTAAATAAAATGTTTAAAACACTAAAAGCCATAATCCATTGTAAAATCTCGTCAATGTGAAAGAATGTTAGTGGCAAACCATTTTGCTAGAGTAATAGCAGAACTTGAAACTAAATTCTTTTTTTGATCACCAACTTGAAACCAGATTCTCTGAAGTTGTCTATCCATATTTCCATGACCTCCTCATGGTGAAGACAGAGATCAAGATAACTATAAAACAGAACTCGTAGGAGCCTTCGGTAGAACATAGCAAGAACTATTCAATACACAAATTCCAACCCCAAATTAAAGACGACCACATTTAGAAACAAAAACAAAAGCCCAAATATATTCTTTTTCCCTTTCACTTTAATTTATTTATTGTTTTCTAAGAAAAGCATAATACAGATATATCTATTAATATATGAAATAGAAGTACAATATACACATTCCTTTTTCCCGTTCAATTTTCCTTTCACTTAATTGTACAAGAACTTGATTCTCAGGACAACTTGCTAGAGCACCAATTTACAATCTAAGGACAAATATTGGCAGGAGACCAACACACATAAATTCGAACATAATTCTATTTGCTATGTTAATATTTGATGTGACAATATAATATCATGTCGATTAATAAGACAACTAAACCATTTGACATTTTTGACTTGTCAATAATATATGCCAACACCAGACAAAAATGTTTCTGCCCAGTGTCAATATTGAATGATTCCTACAGAAGCAACTTCTCAATGAAATGGCAATATACTAGTATATGCAACAATCCCACTATTGGAGGTAAAATCTTGTGTAACAAATACACCACGGTGATATATTTCTATCATGTAAATAGACCATCATGATATACCCGTTACACAAGATCAGTGTTTTAAAAGGCTCCAGGCGCACCGAGGCGATAAGGTCTCCTGTAGCCTAAGCGCGAGGCGCGAAGCGAGGCGTGTGCCTCACCAAAGCAAGGCGCACATAATCAAAGCAATGCAAAATTATAAAGTAGGCAAAATTTTTAACATAACAAATATATGTAGTATATTAAAAAGTATAATATCCAACAAAAGGTATAAAGTATGACATTTACATCCACCAAAAACCTTATGTATTAAAATCATCATCTACATAATTCAATGCAACTAAGCTTCTAATTTGTGGTTCGAAAAAGAAATTAAAATATATAAGTCCTATAGTTGCATAATTGTATTCAAAACTTAATAGACATCATCGTCAGCATGAAGAACTTCATCTCCTCCATCATCATCATTGGATTTGTATCCATCCGCATCCTCCTCTTCAGCCTCATCTTCATCTTCCCATTCATCTTCTTCATCTACAAGTTGTTGGTGTGTTGTCCTAGTTGTGCTTGATCTAGTTCTTTGGTTACTCTCCTCAACTCCAACAACTACAGCAACATCATCCCATCCCAAAGAATCATCATCAAACACAAGCTCATTCTCCATCCTCCCAATCAACCATTCATTGCTCTCATCAATATCTTTCAAAGAGATGGGATCAATATTGGCACGTTTCATGTATCGACGCTTCAATGCTCTATTATACTTCACAAACACCAAATCATTGAGACGTTTTTGAGCCAGCCTATTTCTTTTTTTTGCTGTGAAGCTGCAACAATAAATAAAAAAGCATTTAAATTTGTATATAACTGAATTTGTTTTTGGAATTCACTACTAGATTTGGCAACGGGTACTCACATGTTCAAACACACTCCAATTTCTCTCACAGCCAAATGAACTACAAGTAAGACTAAGTACTTTGATGGCAAATTTTTGCCAATCAGGAGTTTCATGACTAAAAGAAATCCACCAATCAGCTGATCATGATAATTAGTTAGCACTTAGCAAACATTTTTAAGTAAAAGGTATTGACTACTAGAATAGAACATTGTAAATGATTACCTGGTACCCTTATACTTCTTTGTCTATTTGCCATAGGAATCAGAAAAAGTCCTTCAGCCTTCTCATACTTAGCTAATTCTGCACAAACTTTATCTTGGATCTCTAGTGTTGGGATCAACCTTGATATACATTGATACAGGCCTGTCATGATTTCTTCGTCCTTTGCAACATTTGAATCTTTGTAAAACAAACTAAGATTTAAATAAAACCCAGCAGCATGCAAAGGGCGATGCAATTGAATGTCCCACCTTTGATCAATGATTTCAAAGATCTCTATATACTTCTCTTCTTTTCCATCGAATGCATTTGCAATAGCTTCTTTAGCCCTATCCATAGCCTCGTAAATATATCCCATTGGAGGCTTGTCTTCACCATCAACCATTCTTAGTACATGAACAAGAGGACATGAAAACTGAAAGGCAAGGTGAACATGATTCCAAAATGAAGGCATTAGCATTATTTGAGCTGTCTTCTTACCCTGCGGCTCCTTTGCCAATTTGCTTTTGGTCCACTCCTCCGAAGTAAACATCTTCCCCAAGTTGTTCCTTTGTTGATAAAGTCTTTGCAGAGTTAAGAAAGCTGTTGCAAATCGGGTTTTAGCAGGCTTCACTAACTCCTTCAATTGAGTGAAACTCCTCATCATATTCAACAAAGATGGACGATTACAAATATAACCGTGTACCCCAATTGCCCTTTCAAATGTCTTCTTAAAATTGGGTAATTTGAAAATGTCTTCCAACATTAAATCCAAGCAATGCGCTGCACAAGGTGTCCAATACAAGTGGGGTCTCTTTGCCTCCAAAAACTTCCCTATAAGATTACAAGTTGCAAGTTTATAACATACTAGTTTAAACAATTAGAACCAAAACAAAAGCACACTATTTGCAATAGAGCTAGAGGATTTTACCTGCCAATACATTTGCTGCAGCACTGTCGGTGACAATTTGGACCACATTAGTTTCTCCAAATTTGTCAACAAACTTGTCAAGCAAGTTAGAAATCTTGTTTGCATCCTTTGAGTAACTAGATGCATCAATAGACTCAAGAAACATGGTTCCTCTAGGACAATTCACCAAGAAA